AAGGGTTTGGGTTGGAAGGGACCTTCACAGCTCTTCTAGTCCAACCTCCTGCCACGGGCAGGGACATCGTCCACTAGATCAGGTTCAAAGCCCAATCCACAGCATCGCAGAAGGGTTTGGGTTGGGAAAGGATCTTCAAAGATCATCTGGACACCCCCCTCCTCGCCACAGGCAGGGCCACCTCCCCCCAGCCCAGGTTGCTCCAAGCCCCGTCCAACCTGGCCTTGAACACCTCCAGGGATGGGGCAGCCACAGCTTCTCGGGGCAACCTGCCCCAGGGGCTCACTGCCCTCAGCATAAAATATTTCTTCTTTGTGTCGCATCTAAACCGACCCCTCTTCCAGTTTAAAACCATTGCCCCTTGTCCTGTCGCTACAGGTCACGTTAAAAAGTCCCTCTCCATCTTTCCTATAATCCCTCTTATGTATTGAAAGCTCTTCTCGGTCGTCTTCTCCAGGATGAACAAACCCAACTCCTCACAGGAGAGGTGCTCCAGCCCTCGCATCATTCCCGTGTGCCCCTGGACCCACACAAGCCACTGGCCAGGCACCAGGACAGCCGTGGGGCCAGCTCACCTGGGGGTCCACCAGCCAGCCGTGGTAGAGCGGGACGTTGAGGAGGTCGAAGACAATGCACTCGGGTGTGTACTCAAAGTCCGAGACGCCCGTGAACCTCACGTTGACGTCCAGCCCCGTCGAGAGCTTGGGGAGGACCATCATGGTGTCGTTGATGTTCTGGGGGGAGAAGAAGCAAGGGGGGCTCGCTCGGGAAGCGGGACAGGCACCCCGAGTCTGGCAGCCCAAGGCCACCGGTGCTCCCCAAGACAGGGAGGATCAGTTTTGGGGCTGGATAACACGTGGCCTCGCTCCTCACCTGCTGGAAGTTGAGCTGCAGCCCCTCCGAGGGCTCCCGGGGTTGGGTGGACAAGATGCAATCCCCTGCAAGACAGCGCGGTCAGCCCCCAGCGAGCCGGTTAACCGCGGCACGCCACCGTCCCGGCAGCGGGGCCGGGGTCTCTGGGGAGCTCACCCAAATGCGCCATCAGCTCCTCGGCCGTGATCACCTCCTTCTGCGGGGGCAGCTTCACCTGGAAGCAGAGAGAG